TTATTTAACAATCAAAAAGATAAACATACACAGTACATTCCCCATCACCACTCCATGTCTGTGATGGTTGGTGTCAACTTGACAGAATCTATAATCATCTCAAAGAGGGTCTCTGGGTATGTTTGTGGGGCATTATCTTGATTACATTAATTGATTTGGGACAACCCACCTTAATTGTGGGTGGGGTCATTTTCTGGCCAGGGGATCTTGGACTGTATAAAATGAGAAAAGTGAGCTGAGTGCTAGCCTGCTTTCATCTTTCTGTCTCTTGACTGAATGGTGCAGTCATCTCCTTCCAGCTCCTGACTTCCTTGCCAGGGTGGACGGCAGCCTGGAATGGGGAACTAAAATCCTTTCTCCCTTAAGTTGCTCTCCTTAGGTTTTCACAACAGAAAAGTAACTAAATTAGTTCCTCACAAAAGCTAAATAAATATATGGATTTGTTGCTAATCAGATTTTATGTTTTTGGAGTGGTGTGAGTAAACTCAGGAGTGTCAAACCCCAGTAGAGTTTCGAAAGGGAAAACAAAATAATGTTTTTCCCAAGATGACATTCTTGCATGTCAGTGTCAAAATAGTCTGATACAAAAAAATCATAGAAATGGTTAAACTTCTGTGTGTTTACTGTTTTTTATTTTCTTTTTGATGCTTAAATATACAATTCTTTACAATTTTGGGATAGATCAATTTTCTTACTAAACTGAACAAACATGATCCTCACAAGTGATAATGATGCTTACTAAAATGCAAGACTTTTAAGAAAACATTTCTAAGCTGCATACATCATGGACAAATTTCCATTCAAAACTAAGTGTGTATCTATTTTTCTAGATCCTTGGGTAGAAATATGGCATAGTGGGAAAGTACATTCAAAATATGAGTTTTTATGAATTCAGCTCTACACGATTATTAATCAGTAACTTGAGTATGGAACAAAGCCAGAAGTGACTCCCTTTGTGACTTCCCCCTTGGGGAATCTGGGCATGGTCTGTTTTCTTCTCTGGCTGAGACAGACAGGGATATGCAGGGAAATCTTTCACAAGTAAAATTCCTTGTACTTACAAAGCAAGTTTAGGGAGGAAAACAGGAAAGCGGCAGATGGCTCCTGGCTTGATGTTTGCTTATCTTTGTGCATATTTTGGATTTACTCCAGGTTAACCGGGGGATAGGTACACACAGCCACGTATTTAGGCTACTGGCTCACACACATTTCAGTGACTAAAAGTATATGAACAGGAAGCAGTTCTGAAACATGTCTTTATTATTATTATTAATTTAAGGGACTCTACAATATAACAATACACGACAGACGGTTCAGAACCCAACAAAGGCTGTTTAGTTATTTATCTTGCATTTGCTCCTTTTCGGAGGCAAGATACCCAGCACTGTGGACTCTTGAGCTTATTTTTAATTAAAATCCCTATAAATTAGGAAATGTCACATATAATGGTGTTAATAGGGATGTGTGTGTTATGAACAAAAACTTCCGTATGTGTGCTTGCTTCCTCTGACACCATGGATTGTGTGAGAAGTCATATAAGGACATTTAGCTAAACAATTCAACCTCTGCTCATGTTTAGGATAATATTTAACTCTCTTATTCTTCCATGCAAATAAGAGGGAAAATTTACACTTGCTTAGTGCTGATTTTTGAAAATACCCTCCGTCTCTCAATCCCACCATTTGTCCCTGTCCCACGTGAATAAAAGGATTCGTCTCAGAAGGGCAGGCCTTGCTGCCATTGTGTTTTTTCTAATTAAAATGCAGAGTATTAAACACAGTTGAGTACATCCATGCACACATGACATGCTGTCATCACATACAGGAAGCGAAGCTCAAGAGCACGCAGTGAAGGCTCATTTCATAACATCATTAAGGTTCATTGTACCCGCACTTCTGAAAGGCTTTGTCAAAGCAGATAATAACGTCCTGTCATGCCGGGCAAACACTCTCACGTGAAGCTGTCCTTTTGCTCCTGTTTTATTGAGGGAACTTAGCTGCGTTGTTACTGTACAGGCTCAGAGCTAAAGCGAAGGGGGCGGCAGTTTCCTATTTCTGTAAAATGTTATAAAAATTTACAGCATTGAAGGAGTTAAGTGAACAATATTTGAGTCATCGGGTGGGAGTATTCCCGGGAAGAGCCACTGAATGTAGTGACTGTACTAAAGCAGAAGGTGTTTTCGGGAGCATGAAGGTGGGTGGGATTTTGCGGGATCAGAAGGTTAATTTGGAGTGAGTCAAAGGCAGGCATAGTCTTCTCTTCCTGAAGAACCTTTGGTATTTACATTCTAATCTCTGGGAAAAAGAGCTCATTTTTAAAAAGTCTTTTATACCCCACTGAGTGAAGATGGCTATGGAGACAGAGTTTACACTCTGGCTTCCTGAGTAGAATTGTCGTGTTAGCTGGGAAAGAGATGCTGAGAGTTTTGCTTCATCATATTCAATATTTTTCTTTACCGTGTTCATTGATCACGCATATGTGCTGAAACAGTAGAGGGTGAAAAGACATTAGGATTTTATTTTTAGTTTAAAATCCATATATAATGTGTTAGATGCCTTTATGACATTTTCAACAAGTGTATTTTGTGGTACCCTGTAGTGTGAATCAGACCACGCCCTAGAACTTGCTGTCCCAAAAGTCATTGGCTAAATGGATCGAAATCCCACAATAGTACCCCTTCCCCTCATCAGCATCAGTTTCATAACAAAACATGAGGCACAAAAAGTATGATGACAGGCAGCCTGACATCTTGTGATAGTTACTGTTCATTTAAACACGTGTATATTTATATGAGTGTACAAAATCTAGAGACCCAGTCAGTGCTCGACAAAAGATGATTTAGCTTTGAGCCCTAGTCAGGATCTGGTTTTAGGCTCCCCAAAAGTAGGTATATTGAGGCCACAGTATGGTTGCCCTTGGTAAAGACAGTTTTCCATCAGTGAAATGACAACTGCTTGATTGAAAGGAGAAAAAAATATCAGGAAACACAATCTATACCTGTTGGCCCTCTTTTGGATAGCAAGAAATATGTTAGGACCATGGAAAAGGCTGAGTAGTGAAGCCACGGGAAAAGGGGCAGTCCTAGAGACTACAGCTGGCTGTATTAAGGATGCACTAGGCATTGCTACTAGAGAGCTTATATATCCAAACCCATGGTCTTGGGGACCTTTGGCTTTTTAATTTCTAATAGTGAGACATTGGTTGGTCACTTTGGGTACTTAGTATTGTGGGTACCAGGCTGGAGATTCTGTTTCTGTGTGCTGAGATAACTTCTTCCAATGTCATGGTAATACCAACAGTTGTCACATACATACATGAGATGGCATATAGAATATTGGCTCCTTGTGATGACTGGCTGGCCATTGTCAATGACTACAGAGAAAAACCAGTATAGGGCCATTGTTCTGCTTCCCTTTTCTCTCAGCACAAAATATGGATAAGCATGACATGTTTCTGTCATCCTGATACCTTGTAGGGTACTGCAAGGACTGGAAGAAATTACTGTATCTCCCAAAGTGTTCCCGTCACAAAGTATACCTACATTTTACTACTATTTTAGTAATTTGCTAAATTGATGCTAGTATTAAGGTCTTAGGCAAAGAGGATTAGGGTTTAGTATGCAACACTTACATTCAGGTCTTGGAAGTATTCATTGTAATCTAAGGCATAACCCACCACAAAGACATCTGGGATCTCAAATCCAGCATCTTAGCAGAAAGGGACAAGGAAGAAAGTTTACAACATGTAAGCATACTATTGCCATATGCTGCTGTGGTACTTACATGGTAAACAGAAGTAAGGAGTAGTGGCAGGACAAACCCTGTGAGTGCCTGGAACAGAATGATGGCTTGGGGACACAAGGGAAACAAGCAAACATGGATGAGCAATGGGCCTATATGTAGTGTACAGAGTTGAGGAAGGAAGGGTTTAGGAGGCCCAGTGGCTTTGTTCACATTGAGTGGTATGTAGTGTCCTAATGCCTATGGAGATTCTCTTAAAAGCACAAAGGACCATCCAAACAGAAAACATCATGGCACTGCCATGCATAACAAGGTGTGCCTCAATAACCGAGAAGCAGTTCTCCCACTGTGTCACTGTCCTCAGCCAGTTGAAGGACTGGAAAGCAAAACCTGGGAGACAAGATGAAAGGAAAAAGGCTTGTTCAACTTGAGGGAGAGAATGCAGAGGGTTATTTCTATGCTGATCTGTGCATCTACAATGCAGGGGTCCTAACTAGCTCTTTATGTCTAATGAGCATGGACTGAGAGGAAATGGATGCAAACTTGTGTTCAGCAAAAGAAGATGGTTGAAAGGGAAATGGTGTTTATTAAGAAACAGACAACAGGGGTCTGGAGAGATGGCTCAGTGGTTAAGAGCACTGGCTGCTCTTCCAGAGGTCCTGAGTTCAGTTCCCATCACCCACATGGCAGCTCACAACTGTCTGTAGCTCCAGTTCTAGGGGATCTGACAACTTCACACCAATGTACATAAAATAAAGTTAAATAAATTATTTTTTTTTAAAGAAAAGAAACAGACAACAGTTCTCTCCCAGAGATCTCCAGGCAGGATAAATGTGTGTGGCCCATTGGCTTTCAAACTTGCTTCAGTATGTTGGAATCTTGCAAATTCATTTATTATAATACAATAGAAGAGAAAGATGTATGCCTAGTTATATGAAACTGCCCTTCTGTACAGCCTGTGGACTAGGAGCATAGACAGTGATCTTCATGGTCACTGTCATTTTTGTTGTTGTTTTCTCTGGAGACATTGTTTCTCTGTATAGACCTTGGCTCTCCTGGAACTCCCCTCTGTAGACCAGATTGGCTAGCCTCCAGTTTGGGTTGGCCTGTCTCTGCTTCCCAAATGCTGGGACTAAGGGCATGCACCATTACCGCACAGCCCATCATTTTTATCTCTATGACCTAATATGTCTTCAATTTATAGAAAGTGCTACAAATAAAGGAACCCAGGGGCCTGAATTATGGGTTCACTAAGTAGCTAGCCTCTCTGATTCCTTGAACTTGCTGTTTCTAGGAAAAATCATCCAAGAGGAACTGTGGAGAGTGGTGCGTATCTGTAATCTCACCGAAGCCAGGAGGCTTTTAAATTCAATGCCAGGCAGGGGCTACACAGGCAGATCCCACCTAAACAAAGAGAAACAAATTCCAAGAGGAGAAGCAAGGGCAGAAGCAAAGACATTAGCATTTGAGCACATAACAAAGAGTCAAAGACTCAAAATGCTGTCTGGGCACTCCAGAAAGGAGAACCTGATTCTGAGCTCCCTAACACAACAGAGTTAGAGTCCAGGAAACCCTCCTTGAACAATAATGGACTTTCTAGTGGGCAGTGTAGCCCCCACAACACAATAGGTGTGCAATTCAGACTGTGAGAACTGAAGCCCAAAGCTGTGTAGAAGGCCAAATATAGTGATGTCATGGGATAAGGAACCAATGAGTCAGGGGCTGTCAGGAATCAGAGGAGCCCATCACTCACTGATCAGTGCAGCTCCTGCAGTGTTTGTAAATGTTGTGACCTGAAGCAGATTGCCTGGGCTCATTACTGGCCCTTTTCATGTGCTTATATGACCCTGTTGCGGCTGTGTTCCACTTCTCCATCTGTTAAATGGGCATAGCAATAGCAGCTATTGTGAAGACTAAATTAACTAACCCTGTATGCCAGTACAAACCTGGCCTGGCACATCATAGTTTCTTACAGTGTTAGTTGCTGGTGTGTAAAAGTGTGTGTGTGTGTGTGTGTGTGTTGTCTGTGTCTGTATGTCTCTGTGTGTAGGTGTGCATGTGTACTGCTGGGATCTAGGGTACTTTTTGACAAGTGCTCTACCACGGAGTTACATGCCCAGTCTTAGCTGCTCTTATTTTATGTTGTTATACAATGACACAAGAGATTCATAATTGAATTCGGTTTTGTTTTATTGTGTTTTCTTGAGATGAGGTCTCACGATGAGGCTGAGGATGGCCTTGAACTCATGATCCACTTGCAGCCTTCTGAGTCCTAGGATTGTGGGTACAAATCATCATGCTTGCCCTGTTTGTCTTTAATGTTTTATTTTTATTTTTAACTCTGTGGGGTGTGTGTGTGTGTGTGTGTGTGTGTGTGTGTGTGTGTGTGTGTGGGGGTGGAGCCCAGACATATCCGATCCCCCATGAAAATAGAGTGACAAGAGGCTGTGAGTTGCCTGGTATAGATGCTGGTAGAACCTAAATCCCCTGCAAGAGCAGTGTGTTTTTAACTGCTGGGTCATCTCTCCAGTCCTATATTTTCAATGTCAATTAACACAATTTCCTCACAAAATATCCTTAATAACTTTACATAATGATAGTGACATACAGACCAGACCCCAAGGCCACCAACCACCAGGAACAGGCCATGGGCTCTGCAGACCAGACCCCAAGGCCAGCAACCCCCAGGAACTGGCCATGGGATCTATCTATCTGTCCAGAGGTGATCTGGTGTGCAGTTAGGAACCTAGCAGAGAAGATGTTTGTTACAATGAAGAGACCCTGGCTCATGACTCTTCTATACTATTCCTCTTTGTTTAATTTTTTTTCAGCTTGCTGATGAGAATTGGAGCCAAATTATCCTAGGGGCTTTAGAGCAAACACAAGTTAGAGAACCTTAGCTGATATCTGCCTTAAGCAAATAATAAAAAAAAAAATCTGCCTGCCTCTTGTTTAGAATAATAAACAATTAACTGGTTTGTTTGTCCTTCCTTATAACAGAGCCAATCTTATTGTGAGGACAGCAAGGTACCCTGGACAAGGAAAGTACCCCGGAGCACATGTCTGAAGTAAAGAGTGAAGATGCCACCGGGAGAGCTCTGCTTGCTCAGGTGGTGTGTTACTGAATATTTGTTGGAGGTAGCAGGGAGATGCCTCATTAATATGCAGGGTCTGGAAGCGGGTAGGATAATCCTTCTAAAGCTTTGTAGTGCCTCTTTGATTGGTGGAAAGAGCCGCCAGTCAAGGATCCTGAATGTCTGAATTGGTTTTAGGGGAGTAAGTTTGTGTCTACCCTAAAACTGACCAATTGCATAAAATGTAACAATAGAAGTATCGAATGGATTCAAGGTACCAGGGTGTTGTGGGGAACAGCTGTAATCCCAGTACTTGGTGAAGCTGGAAGAGGAGGGTAGATGCCTGGTGGAGGCCAGCCTGGCCTGTGTAGCTGAGTCCTATAGTATTCTGAACTGAATTACCTACCAGGGAAGTTCTTTAAAATACAAACAAACAAACAAAATTCAAAATATAGAATGGAGTTGTTGTGAAAGATGCATACCTAAGATGTGGACTCTGAAGGAGCCTTAGTCTCCATTACAAGGTGGTAGAAACAAAGAATTTGCAGGAGGACTATTAGTCGCACACGAAATGCCAAAATAAAATATCAGCATCAGAAAACCACGCCAAACCCTGAAACACTTACAGTCAGGTTTGAAGCTGTCACTTCTGGCTGGTCTCTTCTTCAACAAACTGCCATTAAAAAAAAAAAAAATTCACTTTAACTACTCCAATAAATTGGGATGTAAATTGCAAAGAGAATTAAATGCTGTTGAGCTGTGTACTCTGGTCTTTTTTCCCTCCTGCCTTTGCAGCTACAGTATGGCATTGCTGTATGTGCTGAGCAACTGCAGAGGGCTCACCTGGCTGCGAGGGAAGCATGTGGAGAAGGGCTCCCATTAAAGACCTTCTGCTCTCTCCCCTTTCTCTCTCAGGCTACCAATCAGATGAGCTATTTGTCAGGGTGTCCAAGCACAGCAGCCCAGGTTCAGGACCAATGGCTTGGGACAGTGTTCTGGGAAAGGATGCCTCTTGGTCTTGTTTGGAAGGATAGAGCACAGTGCTGTGGCATCTGACTCACCTGGCTACCTTTACCATGTTGGGTTTGTATTTCTCGATGCTGCTGAGCAACGCTTTCATGGTCCTCCCCGTTCCAACAACGTCCTTTGCAAAAAGCAGAAAGTTCAACAGAGCAATTTGTACAGCATACTGCTGTTTACATTTGCAGAGCAATTCCTTAGTCATAAAATGCACATTAATTTCAAATGCCAACCAAAAGGAGTCATCATAGGAAGCAGAATCAGTTGTGTGTTCATGGGCATATTGTTTGGAAGCGGGAGACTATGCTGGTGAATATTCTGTTCTTGCATCCTTCAGCTGTGTCGAAGGATTCGGTTCAGCCTCTGGAGAGCATGTGGGCCGCCCTTACTGAGTGTACCCGTATTCTTGCATGCACAGTAAGGGACTAAATTTAGCCCGGAGGTTACATTTCACAAAACAAGAGACACATGAATTTTCATGGACATGGGATGTACATCTGAATACACAGAAAGGATAAATCCGTCCTTGGCCTCCCTACTCCTTAGGGGATGCCGTGGCTGGGAGGCTAAATGTGTCTGGGCAGCAGCTGGTGACAGCCAGGAGTTCCGAGCTCCTGGGCCGCAGTGAGCACAGGGTCTCTGCTGCTGATGAGCTGTGGATACACAATTATACGGGACTGGAGGCTGCAATTTATTGTCCTCCTGACAGAATTCAGCTGCCAGGAGCTGATGATGAACACAACAGGTCTGAGGCTAGCCAGGGTCCGGTGACTCATTTGGCTGGAGGGTCTACTCCTGGAATTGTGTAGAGCCAGAGCTGTGCATACAGGACACAATGACAAATGTGGAACAAAAGCCTGATGACAAAAAGATCCTCTGGCTTTTTGCTGGCTGATAAGACACCATGCTTCTTGGGAAAGCATGGCGGTTTTACTGTGGGAGTCTGCTGCAGTCACAAGACAGCCTTTCTATTTCTTTCTTAACAGAAAAACAAAAACAAAGACAAAAGACCCACCACCACCAAAAACCCCATAACTTTCCCTTGGATTGCCATGGTAATTGATGGAATTTATGATTTTTGAAGGTTGAGAACATTTGAAAGCCATTAGAGATCATTGGGTGAGGAGAATTCTAGCCTTGGTTTTCCTGTTAAATACATAACAGTAAATGTATTGACTGGTTCTACCAGCTAGTTTACTCTCCCCACAACTGGCTCATAAATCCACCAAGAGCCGATTGAGATGTATGTGAGCTTGTATACAAAACAGGATCACCTACCAAACAGTCATCGGAAAGAGTTGGTTTTAAATTATTTGAATCCACTGGCTATATTTGGCTCCCATTAAATACATTTAAAGAGCTACACACACAGTGGGTAATATGATAAACAAGGCCAGCATTTGAAAACTCACCATTAGATTTTTGTAACTTGCAATACCAAAAAGGAAAGGCCAGCTTACCTCAATAATAAGGACATTCTGGGGGGAAATAAAAAGACAAAAAATTCCCAACATTTCAGAATATGATTTTTTTAAAAAAACCTTGGGTCACAAGATAAATGCAAGTTTTGCTTATAGTTGGAATTTCATAATATGCTTAATAGATCTTCCCCATTCTGTAAGTCCAATCAGAGGAAACCTAAGTATCCCAGATTCATTTTAACATCCCTGTGGAATTACCCGATGTTGCAATTTTATTGTCTATATTCAGGTTAGTAGCAGGCTCATGTCAGACCTTGCTGCCTGTTTGAAGCAACTATCCATAAAATTATGACATCTTAATAGTGCCATGTCCCTCTGTGTTCCATCTTTGGGATGCCAAGCTCACCGGCAGGAAAGCCAGCTAATATAAGTTATACCATCAATGGAGCTCAGGAGACAATCATATATTTAACAGTGACAGCCTATTCCTATGTAGCCACCAAAATTCTGGGTGTATCTACCCTTGGATTTTCAACCCTGAAGAATTGGAGTGGGGGTGGGGTGGGGTGGGTAATTGAAAGAGCTTTGAGGGACCCTCTGTGTGTTTTTACTGACATGGTCAGATCCCTTGCTACATGCTCACAAGGTATTCATCAACTTTCCCCTAAGAAACAAATTATGTTTCATCCCAATTTCTTGTTGGATAGTTTCTTCCCCCACTAGACTCTAAACTTCATGTAGTGGAGGACTGTGTTTGTCTTGTTCACTGCTGCATTCCCAGAACCTACTGTATTGCCTGTGTGCAGAAGCAACAATTATTTTCTAAAAGAGTAAGGGCTGTTAAGCTTATCAATGAATTAAAATCAACCAATCAATTGGATTAGTAGTAATATGTCAATGCTGCCCACCGAATTATGACTATTATAATATACCATTCCAATCACTAACTGGGAAGAATATTCCTTGAAAGTAATAGGGTTTTATTTTGTGCTTTTAAATATTTTTAATCTTATTTATTTTGTGTCGATGTGTGTGGGCACATATGCCAGGCCCCTGATCTTTCATTCATCCTTGATTAAGTAACTGTAATATCAGATCAAACCATAAATTTCTTATTTATATGTGATACAAAAGAAATTTAACAAATAAAAACATTAACAAGTCACTTCCCTACACAAGAATAATGGTAAAGTTATATTTTACAGTCCATGTCAAACATTTCTGGAAGTGCTTTTCTATTAGGTATAACATTCTTATTAAACCTATTTATTAAGAGTATTAATTTTCACTTGGGAGACAGAAGTGGGTGGGTCTCTGTGAGTTTGAGGCTAGCCTGGTCTACAAAGTGAGTGCCAAGACTGTTATACAGAGAAACCCTGTCTTGAAAAAAACAAGAATATTAACTTTATCATCAAGATGAAAGGCTGTATTGTCTTCTTTCTGAGCCCTTGTATCCTCTCTATGTCACTACACATTAATATCATGTGTGGGGCTGAGCCCATCAAGTCCTCTAAAACTCACACGATCAGGAAACCCTTTAGCATTTCAAACATGGCTTGCTATGGCCTTTGCCCTCCATTCATAGCACTTAACTTGGACTTGTAGTTTCAGTTTGATGGACCAAGCCTATTAGCTAAGCAGGATGCTTAGAAAATGCTGGGGTTAATTGAATTTCCTTATTTACCATCCCTTTTTGGTCCAATTATGTAAACAAAAATTTCTTTCCAAAATATGTTGGTATGCATTCTTGTCTAATTAAGTAGGGAGCCCTGAAAAGAATCATCTGTCTGTCTCTCTCTTCCCCCCCCTTCCATTTAGAAACTATGTAAAATAGATGCCATCTTTAAAAAGATTAACCACAATTCTAAGACGGTAGGTAGGAGGTGGGACTTGGATGTATATTGATTCTGAGATACAGTGTCAAAATCATTCCAACATACTTGAAGTTTGAAAGGTTTTAAAGAAAAATGCCACCTCCCACATCACCTCTCCTGTCCCCACTTGCTGCTGTAAGAGGCAGTCACTTGAAGTCCCCACTGCCATCCTGGCTGGTATGCCTCTATTTCTCAGATGTTCAGGTACTTTACATTACTAAAAATACACACACACACACACACACACACGCACGCACGCACGCACGCACACACACACACGCACGCACGCACGCACGCACACCTTTACATTACTAAAAATACACACACACACACACACACACACGCACATACACACACACACACACACACGCACACACACACACACACGCACGCACGCACACACGCACGCACGCACGCACACACACACACACACACACACACACACACACACCCAAACCCTTTTTTGCAAGGCTGAGATTGAATGCTGAACCTGAGGCCCACCAGGCAAGTGCTCCAGCCTCATCCTGATATATTTGCTAACATGTCTTATGTAGCTATTTGGTTTTTAAATGTATTCAAATTATGTTTGAAAACAGAAAATCTAAAGATTTTCTCTCTTCACTGCTTCCTTCCTTCCTCCCACCCCAAATATACTAGGTAAGCAAGCACTCTTCCACTAAGCTGTAACCCAGTCCTGAGCTTTTCTTAAGTTTTGATGTGTATTTAACTTTCAAGAATTTAAGTGTATTCGTGTACTTTAAAAAATATTAAACTTACCATAACATTCTCCATTTTATATAACCAAAATCTCACATCTAACAAAAATGGCATTCTTAATATCACATAAAGCCAACCACCCATTCAAATGTTTCCAGTTGTTCCTAAAATGGCCTTTGTAATTTGTCTGTTCAGTCTAAGACCACTCATTGGATTCTACTGTACAGAGTTCCTGCATCGGAAAATGAATCGCCAGTAAACATTAAGGTGGGGCCCAATAAAGGTGATCCAACCATGTGTTCTGTCCTCAAGAATAGAGTGCTGCCATCATTGCAAGAATGGGATAGTTGTCTTAATAGCAAGTGAGGTTTGTCCCCTTTCAGTCTCTCATTCCTCTTTCTTATCTTTCCACCCTCTACCATGGGATGATACAGTATGAAGGCCCAAGGTATAAAAGATGGAATTATCACAACCTTGGAAGCATTTGTGTTAGTATCTAAGGGAACCCATCCTTTCATTTTCATGCACCAAGATTAGGCTCATCACTGACTGACAGGAAAAGGTGATCGAGAAAGGCTTGTGTTCCAGGTATGGTGGTGTATACCTAAGCACTGCACCTGGGAAACAGCACCACACCTGGAAGATAATGAGTTCCTGTCAGCCTGGTTATACAGCAAGACTTTGTGGAAGGGAGGGAGGGAAAAATTAAGGAAGGAAGGAAAGAAAGATGGAGGACCAAAAAAAAAAAAAAAAAAGAACTCTGTGTGATAAAAGAATAATTTTGACTCATTTCTTTCACTTTCTGTAGCTCATTTTCTTATGAGACATCATCTCCATCTATCTTTAATGATCTGCAATTCTTCCTAACCGACCTTTCATTAGTGTCTACAACTTTTAATTTGCTCTGAGCAGTCTACTAAAATTCCCACTTTCTGAGTGGGCAACCTTCAGGATTTTTTTTTTCAGAACTCTCTGTGCCTCCAAAACACTTCCCATCTGATAACTGTGATCGCTGAATCTGAGATGTTTGCCAATTACTGTCTTAGTCATCTCCTCACACCTAGCTCACTTCCTCCCAGAAAGCCAGTAAAAATCTGCGGGGGCTGTAGGCAAAAATTCTCTAGTGGCTCTCTAGACTCTGGTGTGGGGTTTGTTGCTATTCTGAGGTCTGAGTGTTCCTAATGCAGAAGGAAGCAAGAAGGTAGGGAAGAATTCTGCAGCTAGAACGGATTTTCTTAAGATGTCTATTCTTACTTTCAACCTTTGAAAACACAAAGCGATCAACACACCACACTGTCTCAACAGCAGCAACAGGGGTTTGTGGGTGTGGTCACCCTCAGAGGGATTGGCATGGCAATGGTGGGCTGGAGGGTGGCTGCTGACTGTGAGGAGGAGTGTGAATATAAATCCCACAGAGAAAGGAATGTCACTCAGCATTTCATTTTATGTGATAACTCACAAAATTGCCAGAGTCATCCATCAGTGGGCATTTCCACTATTGTTCTCAGCCTAGTCAGAGGCAATAAAAGGGAATGATTTAAACAGTTAAGGCAGCCAAGGAGGGGTGGTGGTGGTGGTTGAATTTTGGCAAGTTTCAATGCTTCATTCTGGCATTTGATTAGAAACTTATTTGGGGGGTGGGGTGCTTGTCCCGTGAAATCTTGCAGGGAACCTGCACAGCTGTGCGTCTTCAGTGCCAGATCTGGGCCTGCTTCCCTGCCTCTCTGGTTTTCTTTCACCCTTTCAGGGAGTTCTCTTCAACATGAATAGAATCCTCCTGCTTTAATGGAGACACACATTTTTATGAAGTGCCAGGATTAAATCAACTTGGGGAAGAAGAAAATGAGAGCGAGAGTGTGCTGTGCCGACAGCTTAAAGACACCAAGCAAATGCTTTTAAGCGCCAGAGGTGATTGAACAGAACCGGTGAGGGCTCGTTTTTGTTCAACAGCAATGACCTATTTAGAACCGTGACTCAGCCAGCTAGCCTCCCTTGAAAGTGAAAGAAGGCAAGGAAGAAAAGGAGAAAGACAGAAAAAAATCTTTTCTCTTATTTGAACTCCAATATCTTAAGAGGACCCAGAGCTGTTGGTAACACACATGGCAGAGCTGAAAAGGGGGAGCTGTTTCCATGTGCTTCTGGAGGTTCTTCTTTCATAAAAAACATAAGAAACATGTCTATGCCTTCCCCTTCCCTTTTGCTGCAAGCCTTGCTTTGCAGCTTTGCACACACAGGCAAACCCTTAGGGTGGTTCTGCTTCTCCTCGCTCTTGCACTTCCTTCACTCTGCTTTTTTCATATTAAATTAATTTATCAAATTAATATTAAATTAGTTAATTGATTGATTGGTTTTTTCTACAATATCCCACACTTATATTCTTTTCCCCTTAAGTAGCTCCATGATGTCACCTCTTCCCTAACTCAGCAAGTTCAACTCTTTCTTGAGACAGTCTACATTAAACCCAACTCAACTGCATTTGCAGCTATTTTATCATTTCCTTGTTCAGTTCCTTACTTGTTTCCTTAGTCATGCAGGGCCAGCCCTGTCCAGCTTCCCTACTTTTCCTTCCCTCCCCCATTCTTAATCTGGTTCTCTTTTCACTTCCTTCTGCAGTACACCCCCCCCTTCCCAAGATCAAAATTCCAAGAATATTTCTTCTTCTTTTATCCAGAAAAAGGGTTTTGTGGAATGACTCAGGAAGTTATTCTTGAGGTGCTCAGCACTGAGACAGAGAAGCCATGCCTAAATTCCTGGTAGGGTAATAACACGATAAATGCAAATTTATTGACTGACTGTTGGATTGTATGATGAGCATATGAGGAAACAGACGGTTAGATGGTGAACTGTAACAACCTAGCCACCCACTGCAGATATTTATTACAGTTTTAGACTCTTCTATAACCACCCAAACCAGGGCCCATTAGGTGTTGAGTGCTTTATTCTCTTAAGTTTGCTCTGGCTCACACACAGTCTGCATCATTGGGAAGAGATTCTGAATGCTGGAATTTATGGGATTTCTTTATTGTCTTGAAAACTCTTCTTGGGCAGACAAGACTGAACAGGTGAAGGGTTGAATATAAACTGTCCTCCCAGAGGCTCCTGTGTGGAAGGCTTTGTGCCCAGGTGGTGGCACTACTGAGAGGTGACTGTGTCATCACTATGCTGTTTGGAAGTGGCGCCTTATTAGAGGCAGAAGGATGCAGGGACATGTCTTTGATAAGTGATGTATGTCCTGTTTGGAGATTCCCCCCTCCCACCCAGCCTCTCCTGTCTGTCTCATGCCTTTCTATCATCATGTTCTGCCTCACCACAGGCCTAAAGCAATGGAGCCAAATGGACTGAGATCGCTGAAACCGTGAGCCACAATGAATCCTTCTTCTCTTTAGTTGTCTACTTGAGTATTTTGTTATAGTGCTAAAAAGTCTGAGTAACACAAGGTCCTTATTTTATAAGGAAAAGGATATCCTTAAAGTTAAATAAAAATTTTAATTTTTTTTCCAGTACTTGCCATCCAACCTAGGGACTTGGGAGTGCTAGGCAAGCACTCTAGCTATCACTGCTACACCCTAAGCTAGGCAAGCACTCTACCAGTGCTATACCCCCAGCTCCAGTTATTTTCACTCCCCCACCCTTATCTATGCAGTATTCACTTCTTCCATCTTCCTTTTAAGTTTCATCAGTACTGAAGCCTTTTGCCTTCTCTAGGACACTCAACTCCTTTCCCCTCCAGCCCTAAATGAAATCACCTAGTTTGATGTGTCCTTTCATAGCTACCTTCATTAACTTTTGTTGTTCTCCAAACCATTCTCTGTAAAGCAGCCAAAGTGTTCTTAAAGTATAAGTTGGATCCCATCACTTGCCACCAGAGGCCTTGCCAAATTGGCTTAGATTTAGAATTTTCCTCTGCCATGTCCTTGCTCAAAATTAACTGAAACTGTCTTTCTGATTTCTACATGAGATGATGCACTTACTGTTCATCCAACATTTATTCCAACCTGTGATGGACGAGGCTGTGTACGATGCTGGAGATGAGATGGTGAACACAGTGGTCTCTGCCTACTTCACACCGACTTTCTGGTGGCGAAAGGAAAATAAAAAAGGGGTTCCTAAGTAAGTGCTAAACTGTAAATTGTAGAAAGGGCTCTAAGGGAATTGAGCTTGTGCATAGGTGTATACTGGGCTGGGGGGATGGTGGAAGAGTACACCAGTGATGGGGGATGTCCTTCTGTATATATGCTTCTCTTATTGGTTGATGAATAAAACACTGTTTGTCCAATAGCCAGGCAGGAAGCATGGGGGTGGGGCAGACCAGGAGAAGGCTGGGGAAAGGAAGAGAGAGGGAGGCCGAAGAAAGAGACACCATGCTGCCAAAGGAGTAACATGCCAGGTTACAGGTAAGCCACAGCCTCATGGCAATACATAGATTAATAGAAATGAATTAATAATTAAGACAGAGCTAGTCAATAAGAAGCCCAAGCCATCAACCAACAATTTTATAATTCATATAGTGTCTGTGTGTTTATTTGGAGCAAAGCAGCTGTGGGACCAGGCGGTACAGAACCTTCATCTTCACACCAGGTGCCTCCAATTCCTGATAGCTTTGTAGGGAAGCCATAGTGTACAGAGCAGATATTGGGATTCTGGAAGAGGAAAGTGGGTTCCAGGAAGAAGGCATAGCTTGTCCACGGGGTTGGCAAGAAAGAGTCAGCTAGTTAGGGTGGAGTGCCATTAAGCCAGTGAAGTATGAAAATGTGGTAGGGGGTGCCAGTCAGATCAAGCCAGACTTATTGTAGTCAGGAATTTGGCTCATATTTATGGAACATCAAATGATGGCTTGCTAGGTAAACCACAAACACCTAATTACATTTGAAAGTCAGGTAACCAGTGAATAATTTTTAGGGTATGTCTCCAGTACTACACAGGACAAAGTTACAGAAAATATGTTTACTATATACTTACACTGAACATTTACACAATATTTGAAGTTTAAATTTGACTGGGCTGCTTGTTTTTTGTTAAGTCTGACAACTGCTAATTAAGAGGCCACTAAAAGATTTCAATTGGCAAGTGGCATGGCTCAGTTTTTATTTTAAGAAAATCCCTTGGGAGGTTTTGTGGAGAATGGTTTAAACCCTACCAAGACTCAACTGGATGCTAAAGTTTGTTAGCACCCAGGTGCTGGCAGAGTGCATCACACTGGCTCTGTACACAGGTGCAAATTGTCCCTTTAAGAGATAAGCTCTGCCTACTTCCACTCTTGTTTTCTTGTTGTTCTTCTGAAGAGGCAGACAGGTCTTTGACTCTCCTCACTCTCTCTCTCAACTGTGTGTCTCTCTCTCCCCTTCTCTTCCCCCAACAAAACTTTCCACACAAGCTCCATCTGTATGGTATATTAGTCCCTCACCTGCCTTGGTTTGGATTCACCCACCAAGGCCCAATCTCATGCCCTATCATAACAAAGTTCAAAAAAGCAAGTTGGGCTCCGAGGGTGGTTCAGTGGATATAGTAGGTTGGGGTGGGGTGTCCAGTGCTTTGCAAACCTTGAAGTGAGAAGAGACCATCTAGGAGGTTGCAATTAGGAGCTCTGGTGTGGCTCCCGAGATTCTGAATTTCTAATAAGCTCCTAGGTGGTCTAATAAGGACCTAGGTGGTGCTGACCTTGAACCAGCAAGTTCCTAGTTATAACTATGGCCTCAGAGCCACATTAGGCCTCATCCCTGTTTTTGCAAACAAAGTTTTATTGGAACACATCCATTTGGTTCTGCATCACCTCTAGTGCAAAAGTGACTGTTAGTCCATGCTGTCTAAAATATTTGTATTTTTGGCTCTTTGTAGAAAAACTTGCCTGCCTAGATTATACTTTGAGTAATAAGGGTCAAGACTTAGAAGACAGCCAGGAAGGTAAAATTCACATAAACACCCAGGCAAGCTGAAGATGTGGTGGTTGGGGGATCGGCTGCCCTGGCTCACCTAGCCCTTCTCTGAACTTCAGTCTTTAAGATCAAGTGGGGTTGTCAGTTGTTGAGTGGCTAGTCATTGTTGCTTTATCTTACAAGTTTTTGGCCCAAGGGGTTCTACTTGGCAACTTTTTAAACGTATAGAAATGTTTCTTCACAAACAGGAGGGTATAGATATAATTCTTTAGTGTCGGGTAGCCTGAGAGAAACTGTCTTGTCAGCAGGAAGATGAGGTTGACTCCTGCTTGTATGATCTCCTACTTGTTCACCTTTTCCCCTGAATGCACACTGGCTTTGATCTCTCAGTAATTTACAGCAGGGGACACCAAAGCCAAGACCCACCAAGCCTTCTGCCTACTCCACCGCAGATAAGAAGCCACCCCCATTGCCATCCCCACCCCCAACCTCTAGGGCTCAGAGGGTATACCTGTGCTTGTTTAAAAGGAAAATCACTTCAGAACAAAATGGAAAGGTAGGAGAGAGGAAGCCCGAATGGAATCCTTTAAGAGTTGTCATTGTGACAGTCCTCTCATTAAAAGCACAAACAAGATGTGGGCCATGTGTAGTGCTAACTGTGTTATGGTGGAGGTTCCACCCAAGCCTCCTCCCCCATCTCCCTACAAACCCTGCTGGATCTCAGAAAGTCGCCAAATGATGGCCCCTACCCCAGAGATGCTCAAGACCACTCCCACAGGTTATTTAAACTGCCCCCCAGAAACCAGACTGGTGCTTTTTCCCCCGTCTCCCTTTCCCGTCTCCTCTCTTGGGGGGGGGGGGCAGAAGGCCAGTCGGCAGAGTTGTATCCATTAAATGTGGGCTTTTTCTAATTCGGTTTGATTTGGTCTGATTTGGATTGTTGCCTCGGCAGAGAGGCTTATGGGGGTCTAGAAACTTTTCATCTGGAGGTTCCACTGAGAGGGCTGTTTTTCCCCCCACTGGTTCAAAAGTGGGGGGCTGGAAAAACACCCTTCTTCCCCACACCTGCTCTCCACCAGACTAAGATCACAATGCTCCCGGTCGCCTTCCAGCCCCCCAGAGAGGAGATGGGAAAGGGAGACCAGAAAAAGCACAAGTCTGTTCTCTGGGGGACAGTTTAAATACACTGGGGGAGTGGTCTTGAGTATCTCTGGGGGAGGGGTCATCATTTGGCGGGCTTTCTAAGGTGCAGCAGGGTTTGGAGGGAGAGGGGGGAGGGGGATTTGAGTGGAACCTCCACCATAACATCCCAGACTCTTTGGGTATATGAATGCCAGTGACTGGGGTAAAGCTTTTACCATAACATCCCAGACTCTTTGGGTATATGGATGGCAGGAACTGGGGGTGAAGCTTCCACCTTAACAAACTGTTTGGAAAGAACTAAGCTAGAATGACTTAAAGAACCCTTCCAGGGTCTTAAAAGCTTTGAATTTCAGGAAACTGCTTGAGTAGTTTAGTTTTTCTAGGCTAATACCTGCCGTATCGTAGTACTGTCAAAAGATGCTCAGTTATGTTAGCCAGTTCGCTTCAGCTGCCACAGAACAGAATTCACTACTCATGGAACCTACAAGGCGGTCTTCAGAGAAAGAAGAAACTGTTTTCAGGTCATTGTCCATGCAGCCCAGTAGCGTCCCAAACATTATGATATGTACTTTTATTAAATGTGGCTGCTGTTCTGCTTTTCCCCATTCGGGGAATTGTTTAACAGTCACAGCTGCCAAGAATGAGAGATTAAAATGTGTTTGACTCTTTCTACTTAGAAAGCTGAAGGGGTTTTTTTGGGGGGTGGGTAGGGGATGTTCAGGCTAGATCAGGATAGGTGAAGATAAGCAGATTCAGCAGTTGCTAGTTGCTTTCACTCCCAGTGAATCTGCATTTCAAATCACTCCACTAGGATCATGTGCTTTGTAAAGCAGCCCTCTCTTGGAATCCCGGAATTTATGTTAGAATCCAAATAGTCCTTTCACTTCATAATTAGTCAAGGGCAAGTTTGGAACTCCAAATTAAAATAGGGTATTCTTTCCCCAACCCCCAAAGTCTAGTAGGTTTCATTCTTTGTGTGGGTGAGGGTGTCGGGGTGTGTATGGGGCTGTGGGAGGGTGGGTGGGGGTAAGGGTGTGGTGTTGGGGGTAGGGATATGGGGGTATGGGCGTGGGGTTGTAGGTGGGGCTGTGGGTGGGAGTGTTAGCCCTTCCTCAAAGGACTAAAATCTGTGCTCTCAAGAAGCACCTTCCAACACCTCATTGTACATTTCAATAAACCTGATTAAGTGTCTTACCACAGTGCTTGCTGCAAAGCAACGGACAGAAACTCAGACAAAAGAGAAAGCTTCTTTTGAGGGTAGAGGTGGCTCTGAGGTAAGTAGAAAGAAGCCCAGCAAGGGCCCGGGGTTTTGTGGTCTGAAATAAGATTGGAATTGGAAGCCTGGAGGATTCCGTCTGCAGCACGTCCTAGAAGCTTTCTTTCTACTGGCTGTGCTTTGGACAGGAGAAATCATTAAAGGGCCTCACACATCTATTTGCATGAATTAGCAAACCCGGGAGAGCTGCTGAAAAGCATTTGGAGCTCTGACCTGACATGAAGGTCACATAGATGTCCCCAGAAGTGTACACCTCCTGAGAAGTTACATTAGCAAACCTTTCCAGCCAGTGTTGAAAGGTCTTCACCTCCTATGATCTGCATCTCACCCACGGACTGGTCATTCTTCGGAAATCAGGGAGTGGGGAGAAAAGGAAGACAATGACTTCAGTGCACAAGGAAAACCTTAAAAGCACATTTTCCCATCTCCTTGGTTAATGGCTAGATTGCGCCTTGCAAATACAGTGCACATAGCTAGCAAGGGCTCATGGTTGCCTATGGTTACCAAGAGCCACTTTCCTTCAGGCTCTTGAGACAAAGCCAGCTAATGACTGGCTGGCAGGGAAAGACTGTAGAGGGAGATGGACAGCTGGAGAGAGGATAGACAGACATAATATACCATAGACAGTACCTGTACTGAGGCAGACACATAAAATAAGACAGCCACTTGTGGACTTCACTGAGATGAGGAGGTTGGGAGCTGCAGGAGCGACTTCCATTAAGCCCTAGCTGTGGGTTGCAGTGGAGAACAATCAAATTCTCATTTCCTAGGAATTGGAGCCCTTACTTATTCTCTGTCCTTGGAAATTCAGCCCCTCATCTCATGACAAGGGCCACTGCAACAGACCATGGGATCAAGGAAGATATGGTCTTCTGACATGAGAGACAAAGCCTCAGGACCCTTCTGTAGCTCCAAGAAGATGAGAACCAGGGAGATTTTTTCTTTTTCTTTTTTAAGTACAAATCTTGTAAGAGTGGGTATATCACTCATTTTTCTTCAATGTGTAAGTATGGAACATTCTAGTGTCCTAAGAAAACTTCAAAGAGCAAGCATGCACACAAAAAAACAGTAAATACCTGCTGTTTTAAAGTGTACCTCACTTGGGGGAGAACTAAAATGGAAGTCATCGTCTGCTTCTGCCTCTGCCTCCTGATCAGAGGAACTGAACACATCAGAGGAACTGAAGCAGACAGACTCAGTCAGTCTGCTCCACAACCAAAGCAAGAATGTGGTGATGTTGCAACGCCTTGATACAAGGATAAACTTGAGAAGACAATCATATGTGTGCTGTGCTGAAGCAGGAGATGTCCTCTGTTACCCACACAGACAGCTTTCAGTCTTGGCTTGACAAGGACTTCCCTCATTCTGGAAGAGTTCATCCCATAGGGGCAGGCAGGGATGGGCTTAGCAGTGCCGAGAAATCAGCTCTGCTGGAGGCTACTGCCAGACTTAGAGTTTCTAGTCACTCAAGCCACTTCCTGGAAGAATTTTCTTGAGCCGGTTTGAGTTGGATTCTGCAGCCTACAGGTAGCAATCTGTCAGGATACAGGGTTACTTTGTCAGGGGCTTGGTTGCCTGAGAAAAAAAAAAAAGCCCAAACACCAATATGACAATTCTGCCAGTAAAGTAACTTTGTCTGACAAAAAAAAGAAAAAAAGAAAAAAAGAAAGAAAGAAAAAAGAAAAAGAGGATCAAGAGTGGAGAGACCTTAAAAATGTTCACTCTAGCTGGGTGTTGGTGGCGCTCGCCTTTAATCCCAGAACACAGGGTGGTTCTCTGTGAGTTCCAGACTATCTAGGTCTAGTTAGTTCCAGGACAGTAAGACCCTGTCTCAAAAGAACCAAATAAATAAAAGGGTCACTTCTACTTGCTAAAGCATTTCCACTTAGTGCAGTGTTGGAGGGAGCATCTGAAAGTGAACCATTGAATTAGATAACATAACAGTCTGATCCTTGAAAGAGAGGACTCATGGGAACCCAGACTTCTAGGCTTTTTTTTGTACTGGTCATCTAATCATGTTCGAAAACAGTTATGATAGTGGCTAAGAACTTGTGAAACAATATCAAAGGAAGGCTGGAGAGTCAGCTCAGTGGTTAATTGCTTTTGCTTGACTCAAAGAGGATCCAATTTCGGTTCCCAGACCACACATCCAGAAGTTCACATTAGCAGTTCCAGGGCATCCGATGCCCTCTGTGGCCTCCAAGGACACTCACACTCATGAGGCATACACAAACACATCTATACATGAACCAAAATCTTAAGAAATCTTAAAAAAGTGTCAAAGGAGAATGCTTTCTTGTCACTCATGGGAACATGGAGACACCGGACTTAACATGGGGTGATCTGTGTAATAGAGTGAGTTATGCTATAACCAGGAGAAACACAATTTCAGGCCAGTGATAATCATAGCTGGATGCAACCACAAACCACAAGGCACCACGTAACAAGTGAGATTTGGATTAATGGATCAGAGTACATTTTGAAATAATTTTGTTATTCCACCCACTCTGTCAAATGTTTATCTCTATCCTATTGTTTTATATTTGTTTGTTAAAAACAGAACAACAACAAAAAGCCATGGACCATCAGAAAACTAAATACTGGACTCAAAGTCACATAGCGTGCTGCCAAGTGAGTCTCATTTACAAAGGCCTGTTTTAGTCCAAGTTTCTAAACATGTTTTTAATATTAAATTTGTTCTTAACCCATCTGGAAGTTATATTTTCTGAGTGTGTATATAGTCAATTATCCCAACACTCTTTACTGTATTATTATTTTCCCCTATAGACTGGAAATGCCCATTTAAAAAAATTACATTTTTATCCTCATGTTAAAGGGTCAGTTTCTATGTTTTTTCAATCTAACATGCCTATTCTAGTATTAATTAATCTGATGTGGCCAGTTAATTAATTTAATTTGCTAATTAGTTATAAATAGGAAATAAGGAATTAGCCTTTCCTAATATTAAAATTCTATTGTAATATTCACAGTTTTTAAAGGATATCTTAATATCTAGTAGAGTCTTTTTTTCCCCCCTTTTTCTGTCTCATGTCTTGGTTGTTTTTGTTCTTGCTCTTGCTTCTTCCTGTGGGTTGTTTTGAAGATCAAATGAATTAATTTCTGTGGAACACTGGGAACAGAGAATGACAAATGGCTACTTCCTGGTCCACCAGACCCTCACAGTTACTGTTGGGATGTCAAGCACCCTAGCACTGCCACCATGTTGTCAGCTTGGTCTACACCTTGGTGGTCTGGGAATATGGTAGGACCTTTAAAAGGTGGGGCTTAGCAGGAAGGAGAGCACGTCACTTGGGGCTTGTCCTTGAAAGTGACACTGGCACTCTGACACCCCAATCAAATTTCCTGGACACAGGACCCGTGGCATTGCTGCCTCCATAGTGTGATTCCTCACCACAGGTCCAAAAGCAATGGAAGCAGTCAATCCTGGACTGAACCCTCAGAACCCTGAGGCAAAACAAACCGTTCCTGTCTGTAAGCTGGTTATCTCAGGTATTTGTTACAATGGTGGGAAGCTGATGACAACTAAACTTCCTGATCATTCTTTCCTTTTCAATCCATTAGGAAACGGCCTCTTGCCAGGCACTCAAGGGTCTGCAGCTCCCCTGGTTTAGTGACTCTAAAAATAAGTGGGGTTTTTATTTTGTTTTTTGTCTCCTTCTGAGACAGAAAGGGGAACCGAGAGATACAAGTTCTCCATCTGTAGGCTTTTGACCAACCTTGCTGCTGTCATTCGGTTCAGCCCTTACTCCAGCTTTTAAGACAGTAGCGACAGCCTCCTGAGCTTTTCAGGGAACTTGATGGCCGCTTCTCTCAGCTCCTCACCTGTTGCTGAGGTTCCTCTCCACAGACATTCACCTGGTCACTTTCTCTAGTCTACAGTGTTCATCAGCCGGTCTACTTTCTAAGCTTAAATGCTGACCTTCCCTGCCCAGGGAGGACTTCTCTTTCTCCTTTAAGTCCTCATGGGCAAACATTTTATTTCTTTGATCTCATTCAGTTAGAGTGGGAAAACTCTCCTGGTAGAAACAATAGGATCTCTGGCCTGAGTGGAGATGTAACATTCCAGTCAGCTGGGTCACTCACTTGGCTAAGGGACCGCACCTAGGAAGGTGAGCTCAATGGGCAGAATAATGAGTACTTTAATGAGATGTTTTATTTTCCTTCCTCTTATCCCTACCCCTAGTGTAATAGCTTGCAAGACCACAGCAATATAGCTTGCAACTCTTCTCTTTCTTAACACTTTTGAGTTTCCCCAGCGATTGGATATCCTTATCTTCCTCTAACACCTGCCCCTCTGCCATGTGGCTGCTTGTCAGCCATACATCCCATGCCAGCAGAAGCAGCATGGCCTCTTCATCTATTCTCCATCCTCTTCCTCCAGGCAGCAGCCGAAGTTTACAGATGGCCTGCCTTTTTTTTTTATAAACTCTAACAAAAATGTTTTTGGAATTCTGCTTAGGTCTGTCTGTTCTTCAAATCTTTTATTAATGAGCCCAAGAACCCAAAAAGGAGGACATGATGTCTCCCATATCAATTCTAGCAAGGCTTCAGGAGGGGATAAAGTTAATTATATACATCCAGTCCACAGTCCACTGTCTTTAACCATGACCTATAGCTAAAGGTTCCCAAGCAGCATATGCAAACTATCATATGGATCTAGGGTTGGCGTATTTTTTAAACTTGAGGTTACTCATCAGCACTTCATCTGACTGACTTAGTGTGTTCTGTTGCTGGATCTTCAAAAACAGATTTGTGCTAGCCTCATAAAATAGACTGGGTGGTTCCTTCTCCACCCCACATCAATTTAGAAGAGTTTTTTTGAATGAATGGGTTTGTCTGTTCCACTAAGGTGCAGTAGAGCTCAGACGAGTTGATGGAGCCACCTAGCAGACATGGTCCCGCCCATCCCTAGTATTCCTAGTAGTGAGAAGTACACAGTGGCTCTTGAGGGCTGCATGGGCAAGGAGTGAAGTAAGATACAATAGCAGAAGTGGCCAAGAGAAACACCATGGTATTCAAGCTAATGATAAAGGAAGTGTGGACAGACTGAAATACTAAAGGTAGTCTCTGACATTTAGCTCTGCCATTCTTAAAAGAAATATTTGGAAAGTTAGTTTAGGTGACTTTCCTTCCAGGTACTGCGTGCTACACTCAGCAGGCCCAGACAGCCAACCGGGCAACATGTTTCTGCATACAGAATTGGATGGCTTAGATATCACTTAGTGAAAAACAAACTGAGGAAGAATAACTACTGAAAATATCCCGTCCTTCTGAAGAACCAGAAGAGGAAAGACAAGACTATAAATAAACAAAAGAGCCATTCTCTAAGCCATTCGTTTTCCAAGTCAGAGCAGTTTGCTTTGAAACCTCTTTGTCCTGAGCATCCCCAGCCTTCTCCCTCCCAGGTGCCTCCACTTGCCTATGTCCTGAGCATCCCCAGCCTTCTCCCTCCACAGATGTCTCCACTTGTTGTCTGCTCATGCTCACTGCTGATGCTTCAGGAAATGGACAACCATGAAGAACAGAAATATTTCATTACATGAAATTTTAATGCTCACTATGGAAAACATCTAGTTAAGATGTTGCACAGTGCTCAAATTGAGTCCTTTCTTCTTAGTATATTTGATACCAAGCCAGATAATGAGGATAGCTGAGCTGGGTCTGGTGTCTCAGTTTTCCAAGCATGTCCTCCAACCCCCTGTGAGGTTGGACATGACTCTTAATTGGGTCTCTCGGTTCTTTAAGCTGCATGGGATGGCACAGCACAGCCAGGATACGAAACAGAGCCTCATGTGTTATCTGCATGAGTGCCTGCTTCCAACTGTGTAGTCTCTCTTGTCTTACTTATTGGATTCAAAGGAAAATGTGTATGCGTGTGGGGGGGGGCGGTGGTGGGGGAGGCAGGGACAAAGCTCCATTACTAAACCCAAAAGGCTGAAAACTACCATGCTAATGTTTGAGGATTTATTATCCCTTGTCATTGTCTTACTGTTTTGTTTTATTTTGGTTTTCTGTTTATTTATTCATTTATTTTGATTTTCCAAGACAGGGTTTCACTGTATAGCCCTGGCTGTCCTGGAACTCACTCTGTAGACCAAGCTGGCCCCAAACTCGGAGATTTGCCTGTCTCTGCCTCCTGAGTACTGGTATTAAAGGCATTTGCCACCACTGCCTGGTAGTTTTCTGTTTATTTAAATGTATTTTGCTTCTGAAAGAATTTGTTTAGAAACCCATTTTGACCATCTCTGGTGGTAAAAGAGAACCTGGAGACAGAGTGAACAGATACCTTGTGTTCACTACCCTAGAACAGACCCCTGGGTTCCAGTCACAGGTGTGCCTCCCCCCAACTTTTTTTTTTCCTAGACAGGATTTCTCTGTGTAGCCCTGGATGTTAAGGAACTCAATCTATAATCCAGGCTGGCCTTGAACTCAAAGATCCACCTGCCTGCTCCTCTCATCTGCTGGGGTTAAAGGCGTGCATCACCACAGGTTCCACACAGGTTCCTTTTAACAGGTATATGAACTTGAAACAATTTAACTTCTCTGCTTTAGTTTTGCTGTGCATAAAAAGAGTGCATTCATGTTCTTACCTCAAAGGGTTATTGGGAGGGGTGGACTCATGTGCACTGAACGTTGAGAAAGGTACCTAGCATGCAGCAGTTAACAACACTTGCAGGGCACACTCTCTTCTTACCATCTACCTGTGGTCTGAAGTAACAGCTGCACCTGCTGTTTCTTAACACTGGGGTTGTGATTTAGTCTTTGTCCGAGTTACTCAATACACCGAATACGTGTAAACTGTGTGCTTTGTGGTTGTGGTCCACTGCCGATGACTGTAACCCATGGCTGGTTGACTGCAACCCCGGGAGGCATGTGGTTAAGAATGGTGTGCTTCCAGTGATGCTCTGAGTCATGGTCACTAGTGTTTGGAACAAGTTCCTCTGTGAGTTTCTTTGGGGTTTCTTAGTGACTTCCCAGTTCCTAAGGCAGGTGCTTCACAATGTACTGTTGTTGGGCATAGTTTTTGTCCCCCTTCGCTATATTCATCAACTGAAGCACCAGGGATAATGTTTTGAACTCATGTTGGATTCAAGTTGGTTTTTCTACCCAACTGTGGATAGATGAGTAGGCACGGAGCTGACCTTAGAAGTGCCTTACACTGGGGGGGGGGGGGTGTATTAATCCCAGCCCTCAGGAGGCAGAGGCAGGTGGATATAAGCAAGTTGGAGGCCAGCCTAGTCTACAGAGTGAGTTCCAGGACAGCCAAGGCTGCACAGAGAAACCCAGTCTCAAAAAAGTAAAAAACAAACAAAACAAAACAACAACAAAAAACCAAAACCAAAACCAAACCAAACCAAAACAACAACAACAAAGGGGCCTTAGAAGTGTCTATGGTCTGGCGTGCAGTTCAGTGACAGAATTTATGTGCAGCATGCATAAGGCCCAGGGTTGGTCTCCAGAACATTAAAAACCATGGTGACAAAAGATCTAGATGGGATCTAGAAAGGATGGGTAAGTTTTTGATTGTTCCAGATTGGACTACACTATTACCTGCTTAAATAGATTCGTCTACTTGTTAGCAAAAGAACATTTCCCAAATATCAAAGTTACAGAAAACTTCAATATTCATAAAATTTGACAAATGTTATGAGTCCCTTATTTGTGAACGAATTCACCACTGCTGATAGATGTCACTGGCTGCAGAGGACCCTGGGTGCCAGGCATTCACCATGGCCTTTGTCCTCCAAGTCATGGTTTATATTTGTTCGTGCCACATTTTGCCATCTTTCTTCATACAGGTCATTATTATTACTTATTTATTTTATTGTGTGTATCTCTGAATGGTGCCTGTGTATGGGCATACATGTGTGTTCACATACATGTGGAGGCCCAAGTTTGATGTCAGGTGTCTTTTTAGATTGCTCATCACCTTCTAGATCAAGGCAGGGTCTCCCACCTGAACCCAAAGTTTGCTGATTCAGTTAGTCTTGCTAGCCAGCTTGCCTTTTGAGTGCTGGCATTACAGGCAGGCTGGCATGCCTGCCTGGCATCTGTGTGGGTGCAGGGAATCCCAACTCTCTTCTTTATGTTGCACAGCAATTGCTTTACTTACTAAACTATCTCTTTAGCCTAGAAATTCTTAATCCAATTGCCTGGACTTGACTTTTTTCTGTGTTTCCAACAATGTTCTACAAATATCCGAATGTTAACAAACCATGACAGAATACTTTGGATGCTGAAATTGCCAAGAAATAAACTCTTCAGGCACCACAACCTATTTCCATTCCATTTGTACCACTGTGACTAGCACTTGGCAGGATCCAGTGTTTGCTGAGGCACCAGAAGCATGTGGGCACAGACACTTTGCTTATATTTTAATACTTATCCCCTTACTCATTTTAGACAAATGAGTAAGTGCAGGTAGCAGTTGGGTTTTCTTGCTTTCTACTCCTTCTCTAGACTCCCGAAGGAGCTCATTTTCAAAGAGAGTAAGATAAGGACCTGGAGAGATGGCTCAGTGGTTAAGAGCACTGGCTGCTCTTCCAGAGGACCCGGGTTCAATTCCCAGCACCCACATGGCAGCTCACAACTCTCTGTAACCCCACTTCCAGGGGATTTGATACATCCACACCAATGCATATAAAGTTAAATAGGTTAAAAAAAAGAGAGTAAAATAAAAACAAACCAAAATGATAAACAAGCACATATCAAAAAGTATCTGTAAAGATAGATGGAGGGTAAGGAACGACTCTAACTTTGGGCATCACGGGACATGGAAAGACGAGGAACATAGAACCACCCATGTACATTTCCTTGTTCTCATTACTATATGTTATATCACCCCCCAGTCTCCTCAATGTTTTTTAAAAAGCTGGAATGCAAAAATCCACGTGAATACTGAGCATTAAAATGAAAATTATTGACTTTTATTACCAATAGTAAAGGATACATTAAAAATGCCAATCTAGCAATAGTAATGATGAATATGTGTACATGTGTGTTTTACATGCACAGTCGAGTTTTCTTTGCATTCCCTGAGTTATCTTTGCGTTCCTAACTTTGTAAACATGATGTTACTTTCTTCCATATCTGAATGGCTTTCTGTTTAAGGACAATGACTTACAAATCGTTTGTGATTTGTGCTCTCTCTACCCCATCCTCGAGAGGTTTCCTAGTTAGCTAAGAGCAATCTCCAGTTGACAGAGCAAGTTCTTGAGAAATAAAGGAATGTTGCATCAGAAAAAGGGGCCACAACAATATGAAGAAAGTACAGACCAACGGGAATAATGAAGGGTCTCTGAGAAAACGGAGAGGGATAAGAGCAGAAGCAGCATAGCTTCCACTTGGTTCTAGAAAATTCCAGGAAAGAGGAAATGGAGTTTCCAAACAGATCCATGAACCTTGTCTGAAACCTTGGCACAGGGCAGGATATCCTTCTGTTTTGAACCGTGGTATGGACTTATTGTTTTGATTTAAATTATGGTTTTAAATCATGGAGCAGGACAAACAAGCTGAGCCTCTCCACACATCTGTACACTCCCCTCCGCTCCCCCGCCCCCCAGAATATTAACACACACAAAGATTGTAGTAGAGTATACCTTAACATGTACATGGCCAGATCCCAGAGGTGACTGTTACGATAAATCTTTCTGCCAAATGTTGCCTGAGCCCCACCGCCACGTGTGAGCTTTACGCAAGCTGCCCCCCCGAGTTAGGCCCAAATGAATACATAGAAACTTGTATTAGGTTTAAAGCTGCTTGGCCAATGACTAGGATTCTCATCTGCTAGCTCAGTCAATTATCATAAATCTATATATTTTATAAGACTTATCCTGTTATTTTTTTCTCTCATAAGCCCACATATATTTTTAAATGTAGTGTAAACCTTAGAGGTTTTTCTTTATCTGGATCTGTCTTTATCATCTTGGTAGTGCCGAGTCCAACGCCCAAGAGCATCGAGACCGTGCGAGCATATGGAAGCTGCTCTGATGCCTCTCAGCGGCCCGACAGGGCAGGCTGTGGCAGCAGGTTTCCCTCTTTCTCTGGAAAGAGGGATGGGGTCATCCCGCTCACTGACACCAGGTGACTACTTCTTACAACACAATTTTCTGCAGCTTCCTCTCCCTCCTTTAAACAACCCAGGAAAGATTCCTCACTAGAACTTTAAAAACTAGCTAGATGACTCCTGCCTGGGGCACTCACAAGGGTGAGCTTACTGCTATTATTCTGCCAAATGGACCTAGCATCAAATTGACCTCTCCCTATAAATCAGTGGAGCCCTCCGACCTCATCAGAAAAGGTTCTCTGTGCAGTGGATGGTGACTGATGCAGAAATTAACACCCCAAGAGGTCAGCATTCAGAGAATAAGAGACTGTGGGGCGCTCAGACACAGTGGTACATCTACTTTACATGGCCCCACCACCACCACCAAGGTTCAGGGACCTTGGCAGAAGAAGTAGAAAGGTTATAAATCTCAGAGGTTGGAGGGGACTAAACCAAAATAGTGTCTTCTGGACATGACAGGACCACTGCTCTCATGACCTCACGGCAGCTGTGTTTGCCTGCAAAGGTCCCACACAGGATCAATTCAGTCAGCACTCTAGCTCAGAGCAAGAAGGATCTTCAGGGAAGGAAATGGAGAGTCAATTTTCTGTCACGGTGTGGCCTGGGAAGGTCAACCATGTTCTCTCTGGTAGATGCCCCATACCCAGAAGAATATGGACAGCACAAATTAGAGTCTATGGACCATTGTATAATAATTTTAAAAAGAGGACACAAAGTTGGGGAGTAGAGAGGTGGGGGTACATCTGGGAGGAGTTAAGGGGAAGAGTTAGGGTGAATATGTATACAATGGTGAAATGCTCAAAAAAACAATAAAAATATTTAAAAAGTAAAACAACAGCAATAACAACAAAGCCAGATGAGTGCTGTTCAAATCTTAAAGCTGAAAGGTTCAGGCTTTGATGCTGATCGTCTCTACCTCTTTAAGAGACGGACCCCTCCCCTTGACAACAGGGCATTCACAGGGACGTGCCATCACCACATCACCCACCACACATTACGGCCTGTGTGAGGACTCTGGGCATGCGTAGAACCTCAGTGCGCATGCACAGTCTTCCCTTTAAAAGTTCCAACTTCCCTGCTTCTCTCTCTCTCTGCTTCCTCTTCTCTCTCTCTCTCTGTTTCTTCTTGGTTCTCTCTCACCTAACCACTCTCTCTGCCTCTCTATGGCGACCGGCCATGTCGCTCAGCTATTACCCCCATTCCTCTTCTCTCTTAGTCTCCCTACTCTCCCAGGCCTTATAATAAACTGCTTAGTATGGTTATAATAAACTGGTTAACATGTCTCATCTACCTCTTTTCTTCTTTATCTTTTTCTTCAAAAAACATAGCAAAAGCAGCTCATACATTTGTGTTAGGATTGCTAGACATGGCAGGGATAAGAAAGGGTCAAGAGAGAACACTAGGGGAAGATGTCTTGCTGGGAAGCATCTGGAACATTCATCTCTTTTAGGCATTTAGACTAGATCT